TTATCCCACTACAACAAATAAAGAATGATGCAGACGATGACAAAGCTGAGTAATGAATTGTGATGGATATCAGGTTTTTCAGGTTTGTAAAATATACGAAATTTCAAAAAAATATTTCCATCAATGATGTTCTTTTCGGGTCAGGCCATTGAATTTTTATAGGTACCACTAAGCACTGCTTATGGTCTTTGGTAGTTCATAAAACTACTTTCATCATACACTGACTGCGAAAAGTGTGCTGTAAAATAACTTGTAGGTATTCCGCATTCATTCCTTTATGAATAGTTTGGCTACAAGCAGAGAGAGGCGAAAAATTAAAAATGCTGATTTCAATCGTGAACCGGGTTGTAAGGTAACAAGGGACATTAACGCTCATTGTAAAGTTAGTTGAAGGGAGCGATAAGTAGACCAGATTCAGGGATTACTCAGATGCTGTCGATACAGATACAGACTGGTTTAATAAGAACAGTCACCCATACTTCCAATAAAGCTACGACTGATAGCTGGTCTTCTAAGTGAAAGAGAGAAATGACTGTGACAGAATGGCTCTCTGAAATCCGCCGAAATTGATTCAAGAGACAGAAGACCGTTAGGGACCGCAAGAACCAAACTGTGTTCGTTTTTAAGACTATTCGGATAAATTTTTCGAGACATGCAGTATGGTAGCATCCTGTTTCACGGAACCGAACGCATTTGCATGACAAAGAAAAATGACAATCCTATCGTTTAGAGACCCTCATCTAAGGCATACTTAACGGAGTACACAAATTGAGCGACCGAATCCGGTGTCGAAAAATACGTTTTTACAAGCAAACTATAAAAAAGCTTATTCGAATCCATTAAAGGTGACATTCTCTTGAGAGAAAAGCGGTACTTACTAGGATCATCTTCGGGCAGTGGGGTTATCTTAGTGGTCTTCTTGGATTGGACACTCACTGTAATAGGCGTGGACAACTTCATCATGGGTGATGGTGGTACATTGTTTGGTTGCTGTCACCGGCGTGCTCANGGTTCGAAGCCCGCCACTCAACTTTGGTGGTAGACAGCTTTGCTGTGAAATCCAGACCGTTTGCTGTTCATCACACAAATGTGTGTAATAAAAGAACAATACTAGTGAAGACCTCAGAAAGTTGTTTAGCACATTCTCCCCAGCCAGAGCCACAAGCCCTGTTGGCTTTAAGGCTATTCATATCTTCGAGGATCTCGGTAGGGCTGATCTAATAATCATAAAATAGGCAAGGAAGAGGGAACAACTTTGTTTCTTTTTTTACAGAAAACGGCACATTGATAATTTAGGCCTTCAATCTCTGGACCGCGGTTTGTCTGTCTACCACAGCCGTTTTAAGGCCAACTGTTCTCATCGAGGGGTGTTTCAATGTGTAGTCGAAGAACTAGGCGTAAATGAACGTTCGGTGTTTGGGAGCTGTAACAAGTGCAGCAAGTTTTAGTTCATGGCCTCTCCTTCCGCATCACTAAACCGGATTTCTGTTTTAATAATGTACTACGATTCGTCAAATTTTCGAACGAAGAAATGCAGTTCGTACAAAGCCCATTTCTCATCTGGGTGTCAAGTGTTCAGAATTTCGTTGTTGGCAATAGACAGCCAATCCCCATGGCATTCAGCTCCGATTCTGATTGGTTCTAATCCGTGCCCAATTTATCTCCCTCCGGATTGGTCAGGACCGGGTTTGACTAGACATGTAAGTTGCACGCATGAAACGTTTAGACCATTTGAACACTGACCCAGCGGTATCGTCCTGTATGGGGAATCTACCACTACTGCAGTCATAGACAAATGCAGGAAACGTATACTGTGAGCACACGTCATTTGGCGTCGGAAACTAATGCACCAATTTCACCAACACCGAACGCTCATCGTTACACTGTAGATATGGACTGGAATATGTCCGCTGCACAGCACGTTCTCCCCTCGGACTATCCTGCTTATGCGCCGCACCTATTCTCCAAATCCGTCAGGGCGTTTTTCTCCAAACGAATAAGCAGTTTCAATTTGGCTCCGACCACAAATCGAACTCTTTCTAAACTGAGCAGTCCACTCCCGTCAGTCGTGGATCGACGATCGGCGGACCCCTATCCAGAACCCCCCACAGATGATGCTCACGAGGCTCATTTACAACAGACTTGGCTGAAACGGAGTTTCTCCCTTGTACCCGAACGTTTCGATGGGGTTGCAACCAGTCCACGATCCGGTCTGCCGTTGCTCGCTGATCGTTCCATGCTCCACTGTGAACATTTTCTGGTTTTTGTGGCCTGTATTTTAGTGGTTCTTGGTTTGCCATTCTCACTTCTCTTCTGTTTACGCGTGATTGCTCAGTATGAGCGTGCGGTCATTTTTCGCCTCGGTCGACTCACATCCAAAGAGGCATCCGGTCCAGGACTGGTTTTCACTATCCCTTGTTTGGACACAGTAGAACGTGTCGATTTACGCACATACACTTTCGATGTGCCCACCCAAGAAGTACTCACTCGGGACTCGGTCACGGTGGCTGTAAATGCAGTGGTCTACTACCGGATCTACGATCCGGTTATGTCTGTGGTGAATGTTAAAAATGTGAACTGTTCGACCCGACTCCTAGCCCAAACCACACTGCGTAACGTGTTAGGCACCGTCGATATGTGCGCGTTGCTGACTGATCGGGAACACATCGCCGCGCTAATGCAAGAGACTTTAGACGCGGCAACCGATACATGGGGTATGAAAGTTGAGAGGGTAGAGATCAAAGATGTACGATTGCCCCTACAACTACAGCGCACTTTGGCAGCGGAAGCTGAAGCGACGCGGGAGGCCAAGGCCAAAGTGATCGCAGCCCGCGGAGAAAAAGAAGCATCCAGATCGCTGAAAGAAGCAGCGATGGAAATCAGTCACTGTCCTGTCGCGCTTCAGCTGCGCTATTTGCAAACATTAAGTGGAATTTCGGCGGAGAAAAATTCAACCATTATTTTCCCCCTGCCCATTGAATTACTCTCCTATTTACGTCAAATTGTCACTCGAACAGACTCTAAATTGTCTTCATCTGGTCACGGGATGACGGTTAGAACAGGTGATTCGTTTGGCCCAGCGGACGTCCGACCCGGTCCAACAGCCCTGAAGCATACTGGTAGTTTTGCAATCTGATGAGTGGGCTGACATCTCCCCAACTTCAACTTGTTGCACTCAGTGTTTTCCTTGTTTTCATTTTGTACTCACATACACAGCTGGACTGGTAACTCCCTCACTCTCTCTCTGAATCTGCCAAAGTGATACGTCTCGATATTTGGGTCGAGATTTTCGCTGGAGCCGTCTGAGTTGTTTTGATCACTTGCCGGATTTCAACTAGGTTCATATTTGCTCTGTTTTTCGACAGATATCCTAACAGCTACGCGCACAAACACACACACACACACACATGCAGATTAACGGTGCTCTCTCCCGCTTCCCCTCTTCCCAGTATGTTGGTTCTTTTACTTCTCTCTATGTCTGTTCGTATGTGATCATTTAACGCTCATTCTCATTTTTATTATCTCTCCAGGAGTAGCATGACTTTTAATTTCATATATTGGTACGGGTTTTCACGTAACTCTGGTCTTCCGTTTCTCAGTTGATTCGTCAAGCTCCAATCGCGAATGACTGCGGGTACATAGGGAAACGGTC